CGCTTCTCCTTGTCCGGCTCGTCCGACGAGGAGGACTACACGCATGAGAAGGCGATGATGTAGGCGGTGCTTGCAGACGCGAAGCGTGTGGAGGAGCATGCTCTCAATTTCAAGGGATCGATCAAGGGTCATCAAGTGCTCAATAACAACCGGCACACGACCATTTGATGGTCATGGACCGACTACTTTGCCCTCGATGCCCACTTCGCGGACAATTTTCGCCGGCGATTTCGTATGCGCGAAATGTCTTCGACCAGCATTACCATAGTGTCCGATCCTTTGATGACTACATCTTGAAAAAGGATGTTGTGGGAAGGATTGGGTTCTCTGGTTATCAGAAGTGCACGATCGCACTGTAGATGCTTTCCTATGGCACAACCGCTGATTCGTGGGATGAGTATCTACGAATGTCCGAGAGCACATGCGGAAATGATATGGTCAGGTTTGCAATTGTCGTGATCGAGGTGTTTGGACCTTAGTATCTAAGAGAACTAACTGTGGCAGATACTAAGAGGCTATTGGCAATCTTGAAAGCAAGAGGGTGGCAAGGTTTGCTCGGATCACTTGACTGTATACATTGAAAATGGAAGAACTGTCCAAAAGCTTTGCAAGGGCAATATCACGGTCATGAAATGGTTTGGAGCAACATCAGTAAGATCACACTGTCAGCGGGGGGCACATTGAACTGAGCTGGAGCATACGGAAATCAGGTTCGTCAGATACAGTGGCACCAACTAATTCCAGCAAACGAAGTGCTAAAAATTGACATAGCCGAGATCACTGAAGCTGAAAGAGAAGCAGTTTTGAAAACCTTTTCAGCGAGAAATCTAACCATTGGGATAATCCAAACCGTTTGCTGAAATCGTAAAAACAAGCAGTGATGTTTAAGATCAGATTGGTAACTTCCCATTGATGATGATCACAAGATGGTAACATTAATCAGATGCTGCATCACAGCCCAAACGAGGAATCTTACTACCACGGACCACAGGCTAATAAGAAGAAACTAGCACATCTCTACACCTTCAGGTCAGAAACTAGGAAGCAGGAAGCAACCTAGGCCGCCCTCTCACCACGGATGGCACAAAGGTGTGTCCCTGATGAGGCCGACGAGGTAGGCCTCGGCGCCCTACTGCAGCACGGAGACGGCGGAGCTCTGAATAATGCGGTTTTCGCAGCAAAGTTGCATTAAAGGGAACAGAAACAGATAACCTTGGAGCAATAAGAAATGCAACGGCGGCAGTTGAGCTGATGTTTGCTAGATACTCCAGTTGCATTAAGAGATAGAGAACATTTCCGAAACAAATAACCTTGGAGCAATAAGAAACGCAACGGCAGCAGTTGAGCTGATGTTTAGTTACTCCAGTAGCCATCGCTCTTCAGGCATACATAATGCAACAGCTGCTGTATACTACTAGTCATCAATCATTAATCCCCAACAAGTGCTTGCAAAAAAAAAGGGGGGAAATGGCACCACTTAATACTTTTACAGTTCTGCAGTATTACATAAGGTTTCCTTTTTGGTTCTGAAATGATACAAATATATGGGTTTGGAAGGACTGTTGTATCACTGTAATTTTTCTTGCATCCCATTGATCACTTGAAAAACAACATTTTGTCGCTCTCCTCTGCTCAATCAATGAAACGCCAGCAATTTGCTGGGTCTTTTAAAAAAAGGACTGTTGTATGGATGGCTGATTTGAACGGCTATTAGTTTAGTCAACACATGATATCTGGACGCACCATACTGTCATTTATCAAGCGATTGTTCAGATGTATCTAAAAAATAGAGACTTTCTTCTGATGGGAATGAGGATTATCAAAGACAAGTTTCACAATTGAATATGCCAATTATACTACAGTTTATAGTCAGAAAAATAGAGCCATAGTCTTATTTTTACTTGTTCAGGATAGGAAAAATGGTGTCTTCCAAAGATTGAATGACATAAGCATACAAAACTAGCAGGCCTTGCTTTGACAAGTTGCCAGGCGACTCATAGCTTTGCTAAATTACTACTCCTAGCACAAACTCTGCAAGCCGAAAGATGATCTCAGTAGAAATGCAACAACCAAGTAATATCAACAGAAAGAAATGAATACTGAACTTTTGATAATTTCAACAAATGCAATGGTTCAGAATAACAAGACAATGTAGAAAATTAAGACAGTGTAGATAATTTCAACAAAAAAAAAAGAATAACAAGACATAGTGTGGGGCTCTATGTCAGGAACCAGACGTACAGTGTAGAAAACAAGCAGACAGATTTCATAAACTTTCATTGTTGCAGTACCTAGCAAACATCAGGGGGTTAAGCCTACTAATCATGAGGTGGAACAAACTGAACACTGAAGGAGCAAAGGGACATTTCGTGGGGCTTTAGGCATATAAGTTCACAGAAAATTCGATCAAGGATATGGATAACACTCAAACTGTTGGTAGATATTTCAAGTTTACAAACAAAGAAAGGCATCACGAAGCAAAAAATTAAGATCAGATAACAAGAGGGTAACATCAGGCATACACTAGAACACAACACAGCCATGATAGCACGAACGAGGAATCTTCCTACCACGATAAAAGATCACTCCACCACGCAACACACGCTAAGACGAATCTAACATTTCTACACTTCCAGATCAGACGCTACGAAGCAGTCTTAGGCCCTATCGCCACGGATGCGGCGGGCGAGCTGGATGTCCTTGGGCATGATGGTGACACGCTTGGCGTGGATGGCGCAGAGGTTGTTGTCCTCGAAGAGCCTAACACTTAAAATATAAACAGAGGACTGCAGACAATACTACTATATTTTCTGGATAATACCTAAAGATGTAAATAGATGAACGAAGGGTTTAAATCATCTACTGTATCTATTTTTGTGCAGTAAGATTACTCCCATCAATGAGGAATTTACAGCTACACGTGTCCTTAAAAAGTGTGTTCTGTTGAGTATCATGGCAAGCCAACTACAAGAAGCAAAGCCTCGTAAACTCGACAGGTCACTTATCAAATGCCGACCAGTTTCTTCATAAGGGGGGTAGTGAAGCCGTCATGTGTTGCTTAATCTCTGAATGGCATCTGTCTCACGTATTTTGACAAAAAATTAGCCAGCAACTCACCCTTGCTGAGCAGAGGGCTCCGGAAAGAGGCTGCACTCGAGAATGTCAAAGTTAGAAATATTAGCATACTTCGCCTGTTTTCCATCTAAAAGAGAAGATAAATAGTGTAATTCTGATCTGAAATACTCTGCTGCAACCGACAGGATCACGGCATGCACAACTTGGAGAATTGTCGAAATACAAAATGTAATTGCGCGTTGACTAAACCATACCTGAAAGTTTAAACCAGAGTAAATAGCAATTAGCTTGGTGTCATCTTAATAGGTAGAAAATGTTCAGCATCTGATAGATCATTTAGTTTTTTCAATATTGGGCATCTAATGCTGATATGTTTATATTTGGTTCAGTTGTATGAGCTGAGATATATAAACTTTGTAGATAAACTGAATACATTGCAGTAAGACATAGTGGAAGAAATGGTTATGCACTAGAGTTCCCTGCAAACTTTGTTCGCCTAAACCCAAGCAATTTGAGGGAGGAAACTGTCACTGTTATAATAGTGATTATATATAACTGGGAATATGATGACGAGTCTCCTCAAACCTGATAGTAGTCGGTATGGAGCTCTTGTCAACAAACTCCATGATGCAAACGTCTTCATTTGCCATCAAGTCCTCACTGCATTCTACCATTATCAAAATATTACTAGAGAATTAAGACTTCTTCACGCTTGAGTGATGCTGTGATGGATACTAGAGAATTTATCATACTAATGGCCTGGTGGATGAACAAGGAAGCTGATAAGAAAACATTGCTAAGTGATGCAGCTAACCTGAGACAACAAACAACCCAAGCTGAAGACTGGACACAATTTGGTGCAGAAGAGTAACAAATACTGGAAATAATTCAGTCTATATAAGATGCTATAGTTGATTTTTTTTATGTGCTACTACTACCAAATGCCTATTACAAGACACAATTACACTGATTCAGCTATCTCAGATTCAAAATTATATTTAAACTACAGTGTCGAGTCACAAAGTTTACTAATTCTTCAACAGAGTGCAGATATTTACCATTCCATTTGGAGTCCAAAACCCACAAACACAGGAGTAAATAAAACATCACATGATACTGCAAAAGCGGTTACACTTAGAACCGCCAGAATTTCATAGCTTCCATGGATTTTTTCGACAAAGAGCTTCCATGGATACACACCAAAAAGAGTACAGATCCCTACACTTGTTTATGGGACAACCTCCGGCAACAAATAGCTAAAGAGGCAGTTATCCAATCCACTATGTTCCTTTCCACACAACAATTGAGAGTAAAGATTAGAAGGGAAAAAAAGGAATTGACAGAGCAAGGGCATTAGGAAACAGGACTCGAATTATACAAGGTGAGCAGTTTCAGATTGAACTGAACTGGGGCATATGAGCGTCATGTTCATCAAATTCAGTGGCACCTTTAGCAGCAAATGCTGCCAAAACGTTGAGGGCTAAATCCATCGATAAACCAGACGAACAAGCAGGCATGTTTGAAATCAGATTGCTAACTTCTCATTGATGATGATAACAAGATGGTACCATCACATACACCACACCATAACGCAACCATCAAGGAACCTTACTACCACAGACACGGGCTGATAAGAAACTAACACATCTCTACACCTCGAGAACAGATCAGACACTAGGATTCTAGGAAGCATACTAGGCCCTCTCGCCACGGATGCGGCGGGCGAGCTGGATGTCCTTGGGCATGATGGTGACGCGCTTGGCGTGGATGGCGCAGAGGTTGGTGTCCTCGAAGAGCCCGACGAGGTAGGCCTCGGCGGCCTCCTGCAGCGCGGAGACGGCGGAGCTCTGGAAGCGGAGGTCGGTCTTGAAGTCCTGCGCGATCTCCCGCACCAGGCGCTGGAAGGGCAGCTTGCGGATGAGCAGCTCGGTGCTCTTCTGGTACTTGCGGATCTCCCGGAGCGCGACGGTGCCGGGGCGGAAGCGGTGCGGCTTCTTCACGCCGCCGGTGGCCGGGGCGGACTTGCGAGCCGCCTTGGTGGCCAGCTGCTTGCGCGGCGCCTTGCCGCCGGTGGACTTCCTCGCCGTCTGCTTCGTGCGGGCCATCGGGAGTGGAGGGCTTGCTGCGTGGGCGCGGAGAGAGGATTGCTCGGGAGATTTGGGGAGTGGAATGAGGAACAAGGGAAGGATTCGGGGCTCCTTTTAACGAGAGGGGGCGGCCGGTGGGCGCGAGTCCGGGGAATTTTCCGCTCTTTCGGCGCTCTGTGTTTCGGGAGAGGCGAGTTTCGAGCGTTGGATCTGCGAGCCATGGATGGTGAGGATTTGGTTTCGGCTGAGGCACGCGGATCGTGGGCAGCGATCCGTGGCGTGGGTGTTCCTCGATTCTGATTGGTTAGTTGCAGCTGCGTGCTCGGGCTGCCGCAACTGTGGGCTCTGGGCTGCGTCGGCCTCTCTTCAAAAGTTCAGACGAGTGGCATGATCCAGATGGGCCAAAATTGCAGCCTGTAACCAGCGTATTTCTTTCCGTTCCGGTTTTTACGTCAGGACCAGACCACCCGTCGTGGCTACAAAAATATAAAATCAGAACGAGTCACCTCAGTCGCTCACTTCTGTATACTGATGTGATGCACTGGCGCAGATTATACATATTGCGCACAAGCACCAAGAAGAAAACAAATGTATGCCAGAACATATCACCAAGAACAGGCAAGCACCAAGGCCATGCTCTTGCCCTCTTAAATAAAAGTACTCCAGACTGCTAGAACAGGCAAACACCAACGGCTGCTAGAAGTTTCAATTCCTTCAGTTAAGTACACACATTTCACATTCCATTTGAAATCCAAACTCTACAAACAAGAGTCAATATTACTGGTCCATGATACTGGCACGCCAAGTCAGCAACTACAACCAGCAGACCGCTCCTATAGTAGATTCACCAACGGTGCATAAAAATGAGAGTCCAGATCACCACTTTGAACAGTAACCAGCTTCTAGCAAGAAATGGACAGTGACTGGCCGAACTTGACAATTTAAAGAGGCTTGCTTCGGTAACAACCCTGATCTGCCTTCTGTCCTCGTCGTCGAAGTAGTGGTCATCCGCATTCCGCACCGTGATCTGGCCTCCGTGCACAACATCAACGTCATCGCCATCCGGAATCACGCAGCAGCCTCCGTCCTCGTCGTCATCCGCAATCACATCGGAGTCCACATACCTCACGGCTTAGTCGCGCAACATCGACACCCGCCACCCCCTAGGTTTGTCATGTAAACCTCGCATCAAAACGATTTAGTTGCTGCAAATAATAATTTGGAACGATATTGTTGTTGTTTAACTATTCATCGGCATGACCCCAGTACATCTAGTTTGATTTTGAACTGAGATATGATTTTTTTTTAATGTTGTGCAATGATGGAGGAAGAAACTGGATATACGGATGCACTCCTCTACACGGATGATGAGTATGGTAGCGATAATGTCAATCGTACCCATAAGGATTGCAATAACAAAGATGATTATAGTAGCGACAACGAACCATGGTCGTCATACGATAATTTACTTGAGGAGGACTTTCAACAGAATGAGGATGATGCTTGTAGTGAAAACATAAGTGACGTGCACATTGATTTTGCCTAACAAACAACCACATGGCTACTTACACGTGTATGTTGTGTTTTTATCTGCAGGAAGATGTTGATGTCCAGAATGAGGAAAATGTTTTTCAAGAATCTTTCGCCGATAACTTGAGCCAGGTTTGTTCCAACATTTTGTACGTCACATGATCATATGAAGTAAATGATGACAACTTACATGTGCTTATGTGTAATTTTGTAGGATGATCTGGATGGTCGTAGTGGTGATGATGGCCATGACGATGACGGTGAAGTTGATATGGATGAAATGCAGCAACAGGCACCACAGACACATTGGAAGGTCGTGTCTATGACTTTTGGATCACAATGGGAGGCATATGCATTCTATAATAAGCACGCCAGAGAGCGCGGATTCAGCATTAGGAAGGAGAAGGTTTCGGTGAACTTTTTCTCAAATTCGATGAACTTTTTTAAAAATTGGTGATTTTTTTTAAGTTTGTGAACTCTTTTCTCAAATTCGATAAACTTTTTTTCAAAATCAATGAACTTTTCAAATTTGATGAGTATTTTTTAATTCGTGAACTATTTTGTAGTATGTGATTTTTTTTCAAAATTTGAAAACATTTCTTTATTTTTTGGATTTTTTAATCTTTTTCTTATATTTTCAAAGTTCAACGATTGACTGGTCAACCACGATCGAGCGAACGAGGCGATATGCATGGCGACTGAAACAAACGAGGCAAGGCGAGCATACGAGACGAGCAGGCCAGCCCATTTGGCGGGCGCATGGGCGCCAAAACCAGCAACCATCGCTTTATCGCCGGTTAGGAGGTCCCGTTCCAAAGTTTTTTCCCCTCTCGTTAGTGTCTGTTTCTCCCGTAGGCGATCCAGCCGCCGTCGAGTTATGTTTCTTTCCCTCCCCCGGTCCCTCTGCCGCTTTGATTCGGGCCATCTGAGGGGTGATCCTGGCATCACTTTTGGGCCTTGATCGATCCCCTGGAGCCGAGGGGCGTTAGGGTTCCTGCAACACCCGATTTTTGTAGATGTCGGGAAAGGGTTCAAGTAAGACTGCAGATGGATCGTCGGTAACAGATACAGCCGTACCGGATTCCGCGGCGGATCTGGAAAGGATGATGGCAGAGCTGGGGCTTCGAGAGGAGGATCTGGATGATGTTCTGTATGATGATCAAGAAGCACCACCTGAGACAACAAGATGGATAGCAGTTGTTAGCCCACCACCTAAGAGAGATCCGAGGAGGCCAAGGATAAATCAGGAAGGCAAGGAAGGAGACAATACTCCAGCAAAAAAATCATTGGTGGGCTCCTAAGGGGACGCCCCTCGGGCCCAATGAGTGTGCTCTGCTAGAATTGTTGAGACGCGGGCAAAGCCTCGACAGTCCGTGAACTTCGTGATTTCACGAGGAAATTTTCCCCTACCCTCTTATGTGTTGTAGAAACTCAGATAGTTGGCTCTAGGGCATAGGCACTAGCAGACACTCTTGGATATGATCATGGTTTTGTTGTAGACAGTCAAGGGAGAAGCGGTGGTATTGGTATTTTCTGGAAGAATGAAACAAAGGTGGAAATTCTTGGTGATTCAGTCTGTCACATTGACTGCTCGGTGATGGAGGAGGGACATGATCCATGGAGAGCTACAGTGGTATATGGGGAAGCTCAAACACACTTGAGGCATCAAATGTGGGATACGTTAAAAATATCAACACTTTAAGCAATCTTCCATGGCTCTGCTTTGGCGGTTTCAATGAAGTTTTACGCCCGGAAGAGCACGACGAGGTTGGTGAAGGAAATATGCCCTAGAGGTAATAATAAAGTTGTTATTTATATTTCCTTATCATGATAACTGTTTATTATTCATGCTAGAATTGTATTAACCGGAAACTTAGTACATGTGTGGATACATAGACAAACATAGTGTCCCTAGTATGCCTCTACTAGACTAGCTCGTTAATTAAAGATGGTTAAGTTTCCTGACCATAGACATGTGTTGTCATTTGATGAACGGGATCACATCATTAGAGAATGATGTGATGGACAAGACCCATCCGTTAGCTTAGCATACATGATCGTTTAGTTTTATTGCTATTGCTTTCTTCATGACCTATACATGTTCCTCTGACTATGAGATTATGCAACTCCCGAATACCAGAGGAACACCTTGTGTGCTATCAAATGTCACAAAGTAGTTGGGTGATTATAAAGATGCTCTATAGGTGTCTCCGATGGTGTTTGTTGAGTTGGCATAGATCGAGATTAGGATTTGTCACTCCGTGTTTCGGAGAGGTATCTCTGGGCCCTCTCGGTAATGCTCATCACTATAAGCCTTGCAAGCAATGTGACTAATGAGTTAGTTGCGGGATGATGCATTACGGAACGAGTAAAGAGACTTGCCGGTAACGATATTGAACTAGGTATGATGATACCGACGATCGAATCTCGGGCAAGTAACATAACAATGACAAAGGGAGCAACATATGTTGTTATGCGGTTTGATCGATAAAGATCTTCGTAGAATATGTAGGAGCCAATATGAGCATCCAGGTTCCGCTATTGGTTATTGACCCGAGATGTGTCTCGGTCATGTATACATAGTTCTCGAACCCGCAGGGTCCGCACGCTTAACGTTCGATGGCGATTTGTATTATGAGTTACGTTATTTGATGATTGAAGATTGTTCGGATTCCCGGATGAGATCACGGACATGACGAGGAGTCTCAAAATGGTCGATACATGAAGATTGATATATTGGACGATGTTATTCGGACACCGGATGAGTTCCGAGAGGTACCGGATAATTATGGGAGTGCCGGAGGGTTATCGGAATCTCCCGGGGGAACTAATGGGCCTTGATGGGCCTAGTGGGAAGAGAGAAAGGGCCACAAGGGGCTGGCCGCCCCCCTTGGGTCCGAATTGGACTAGGGGAAGGGGGCGGCGTCCCCCTTTCCTTCCCTCCCCCTCTTCCTTCCTTCTTTCCCCTTTCCTCTAGGTGGAATCCTACTAGGACTCCCTCCTCCTGGGGTGCCCCACAGGGCCGGCCGGCCTCCCCTCTCCTCCTTTATATATGGGGGCAGGGGGGCACCCTAGAACACACAAGTTTCTCTTAACCATGTGCGGTGCCCCCCTCCACAGTTACACACCTCGGACATATTGTCGTAGTGCTTAGGCGAAGCCCTGCGCCGGTAACTTCATCATCACCGTCACCACACCGTTGTGCTGACGGAACTCTCCATCATCCTCAACTGGATCAAGAGATCAAGGGACGTCATCGAGCTGAATGTGTGCTGAATGCGGAGGTGCCGTACGTTCGGTACTTGGATCGGTTGGATCACGAAGACGTTCGACTACATCAACCGCGTTACTAAACGCTTCCGCTTACGATATACGAGGGTATGTGGACACACTCTTCCCATTCGTTGCTATGCTTCTCCTAGATAGATCTTGCGTGATCATAGGGAATTTTTTGAAATACTACGTTCACCAAAAGTGGCATCCGAGCC